CTTTGTTACGGCGGCATTAGCGTCATGGCACAGCCCGGGTTTGATGATTTTTTGTGGAGCGATTTTATTCTCAGTGATTTCGAGGATGGTTTTGATGACATAAACTTGATATAACGTTAGAAAGAAGTTCGGAGTATTCCCAACACCAAAAGCTCCACCAAGACCGGCGCTCTTTTTTTTCGAGTCTTTTCTTTAAAATGTAACTTGAATCAGCCCTAGCCCATTCCAAACTAGAGTTCCAAGACCTCATGCCTTCGACAAATGATGTTAACCTTTACGACTGACAAATTATGAATGTTTCACATTGATTATGGAAATAATATCCTCACTTGCAATTATATCCTTTGATCATATTTTCCATCCAATGACAGTCTTATCTTAAACAAAGAGGGCTATTCTAGCATTTCCTCATCACCATTTTAATTGTTTTATCACAGAACCCAGCAAATATATAGACTTCTGTCATTAATTATGTAAATTAGATCATGATTTGCATAATCGTCATCTAATTAGGTCAAGCATCACTTAAGCTACCGAGATACCAAAAATAACAACAATCCGTCAACCGGTTCTTGAGCTATCCTTCTTCAAACATTTTCAAACAAATGCCTCTGCATTTCCCAAACAAGCTGCTACGGGGTGCAAACTTACGGCACTTTTTTGTGAGCACAAGAGCTACCTACCATCTAAAAATCATGACCCTAGCACGTCCATATCACGAAATGTAAAAACCAGAAGTTTCGCTGCAGTACGTTCTAATTCAATGACGTGGGGACCCCCCACGAACCCCATATCCGAACTTGAACTTGGTATTTTCAATGGTAACTTGCCAACTAAAAACATGAACATCCATTTAAAGATTCTCGAGTTATCTTGTCCACAAGAGAAAACACAAAAAAGAGTTGCCATACGTAAGACGACCGTGCGAGTAGGAGAGTCTTCCATAGATGGTAGAAACTCCAACAAAATGCAATTATGGCATGCGCTTTATACTAGATAATTAAAAGCAATATACATGTAGTTGACCAGTTCCAGTTTTGAAATCTCATGACATGCTAGGGTGACAAAATTTGGAAAATAAGCTTATGTAGCTCTTTTTGCTTGGGAAAAGTGACGTGAGTAGTTTAAAAATATGCGCCAAAACGCTGTTTTCCACGGCTGCATATATTAGCCAGATTTTGTAAACATACATACAATTTAAAGAACCTTAAGTGAAAATATATATTTCTTTGCAAATTAATTGTACCTTTTGAGCTCGATCCAACAACGTCATTGAATCCTGCATATGAGTTACAACTTACTAGTACTCAAAAAAGTTGTATACCATGTATTTCTTATGCGGTTTCCCACACTTGACCTTGAATCTATTCTGATATACAGTACTAACTTGTCAGGGCTGTTTTCAGAGTAGCTGATACTCTTGTTATTATAGGACACTTCATTGGTACTGTTCAAACAAACATCTCTACACCCTGCCAGTGTTATTGTTATCTTACCCTAGTTCACCCTATCTGTTATCTTAACCTACATGTACTACATAGAACAACACGCCTGCATGTGAAAACCCACAACCTACTAGACACTCCAAACACCTATGTTGCTTCAACAAACAACTCTTTACCCTGGAAATGGTGTGGAAGTGTCCTACAATACCTTCCTATGTGGTTTTGTGCCCAAAAAAAAGCAAGACAACAAATAATTCTTTAAGTGGCTCAAATATCGCACATCTTTTTAAACTACACACGTACATGTAGCTAGTAATGTTAAACTTACCATATACATGTACTAGTAAATACATGCACTTTAAAGGCTGTGTCATCGTCCACTAATTACATGTAGTTTAACAGGCACTTGTTATGCAGTTTCCAACACTTGACCTTGAACCTAATTTTGATTTACAGTACTACCTTGTCAGGACTGTTTCCTGGATAGCTTCGATTGTTAAAGGAACACTTGACGGTTACTGTTATCTCAACAAACAACTCTACACCCTTGCTGTGCTATTGTTAGCGTAACCTACTTAACCCAACTATGCTGTTGTTAGTTTAACCAACTACATAAAAGGACAAAGACTTCGCCTACACTTTAAAGATGTGCAAACAAAATGTCCTTAGGCTATTACACGTACTCACAACCTACTACAGACTCCAAATTTTAAACCCTACAATCTTAACCCCTTAACCTATTCACAAAATTTTTTTTTAAATTCCTATTCTACAGCTTCAACTACTGAAAAACTAACAATCACCAAAAGCCCACTACGTAACTGCAGTATGAAAGACATTTAGATTTCTCTTATCAAGTAATCAAATTGGGTCACAATTTACATAATTAATATCTGTTAATGTTCCTCTTCCTCTTGATTAAATATGCCACCATTTTAATTGTTCTATTATGGAAGGCAGCAGATTTATAGACTTTTGTCATTCATTATGTAAATTAGATCGTGATTTGCATAATTGTCATCTAATTAGGTCAAGCATCACTTAAGCTACCGAGATACCAAAAATAACAACAATCCGTCAACCGGTTCTTGAGCTATCCTACTTCAAACATTTTCAAACAAATGCCTCTGTATTTCCCAAACAAGCTGCTACGGGGCCCAAACTTACGGCACTTCTTTCTGAGCACGAGAGCTACCTACCATCTAAAAATCATGACCCTAGCACGTCCATGTCACGAGATTTAAAAACCAGGAGTTTCGCTGCAGTACTTTCTAATTCAATGACGTGGGGACCCCCCACGAAGCCCATATCCGAACTTGACCTTGGTATTGTCAATGGTAACTTGCCAACTAAAAAACATGAACATCCATTTAAAGATTCTCGAGTTATCTTGATGACAAGAAAAAACACAAAAAACAAAGGTCAACTGCAGTGACATAGAAACCCCCACGGGGCCCATCTTTGAACTTGACCTCGGCATTTTCAACGGTAACTTGCCCACTAAAAATAATGAACATCCATTTAAGGATTCTCGAGATATCTTGATGACAAGGAAAAAACACCAAAAACCAAGGTCAACTACAGTGACTTAGGAACCCCCCACGAAGCCCATTTTTAGCCTTGACAATGGCCACCCCTAAATCAACCTGCCTGCCAAAAATCGTGAACCTCGGACCTTGCCTTCAAGAGTTATCGTGCCTAATCTGCCAAACAGTGCAAACCCGATTTCATAACCTTCTCCGAAGGCATAGCCTTCAGTCGAAGGCAATAAGAGTCATTCAGGAAGCGGAGGTGCCGAAATATGACTACATACGAGCTCAAGTGTACATCTGTTTAAAGCAGGAAACACAGCTGTCAGCCATGTTTGTTTAGATTCTGGTAGTTTGTGGTGGCACTACTGACCGGGTGCGCCTCGTCTTTGTTGTTTAGTACCAACCATAATTGTCAAAAATCAGGCTGAGATAATTGAACAAATATGTAAATATGTTAAAAACTGTAAGTAAATTAGAATCATTCGAACATTTCTTAAAATAGGATAAATCCACTTTATTGTCAATGTTACATAATGATCCCTTGAATTTTATTTTTGTTATAAACGTCACAACTTTATTTCACAAATGGAGGGTGGAGTCGGCCCTTGTGTTCAGAAAACAAAGTCCAGAGTTAAAAAATCTGTATAGCCTATGGCCATTACTACTTTTTTTTTAGTTTAAGAGAATACATAGTTCTCCAGTACAATCAAATAATTATTAGTGTTATTAAAACGTAATATGGCGTATTTGACGTTATTTGTGCGATTTTGTTCAAGGCGGTCTGTCACTACGGCATTCTTTCCCATTTCTGGGGGCGTTCGATAAAGTATAGGGTTACAAGACGCAGTTTTGGGCTAACCGTAAAACATTGAAATTAAACAAACTAGTATCGAAGGGAAAATTTCGTTGAAATAAAATAAAATTATCGTCTTTACATACATTCAATGGTGATTTTTTGCGCTAAAAGGATGATTTTTTTCGGATTTCGTTAAAAAGTCAATAATTTATGGAATTTCGGTGCGCCATATTTTAGCCAATCACCGAGCAAACCTGGCTACACATATTACGCATGGTCACTGATTTTTATATTTTTCGACGACCAGGAATAAGATGAAAAATCGTGCTTTTGGGATTTTTTAATTTCTGACTTAAAGTATAGTTTTTGTCGACAAATAGGTGAAAAAATCGATTTTTTTTTTGCTTTTTTTCGCACTTAATTGCCCATAATTCAAAATCAAGAACATTTTTCAAAAATCCCTAAAGCACGATTTTCGGGACAACCGTGGCAGTCATGTTGAGCCGTAAATGGGGTATGTTTGACTCTCCATGCTTCCAGGTTTGAACGAGTTTTGCAGACATGTCATATCTCCCAAAAGTGTGCACCGTGTTATTCATAAAGGTGTAAAGAATCATTACAGTATCCAAGGTTACCCAAGGATACGACAGTAGCTTCGCTACATGTTACATGTCCACAAAAAATGATAGCGGACATGTACTGTCCTGGAAACTGTTTGTATCTATAGAAAAGTGTTGTTTTTATCTGTTGCGAGGCACTCAGGCAGAAGGGCTTGTTTTGCCGCTTTATTGCAAATGACCGTAGGTGACCCCGAAATGGAACGCGGGTTCGATTCGAATTGCCCAGATCGAACACGATCGAACACTGTTCGAATTCTATGAAATGTGGGAACTTAGCAGCCCAGATTTTACCACCGTGGTTTGTTAAAACTGTTTAAAAATAGGTATACAACAAACAAAAAGGGAGTAAAAGATATAATATCAAGTTCCGCTAAAACTTATGTGGCCCATGGCACTATCACCGAAGTAAAAAAAAAAATTAAGACATATCCCATCATCATTGTCTAAACAATCTTGAATTTTTGAAACCATCAGTTGTAGGGGTACCACCGTTCGACGAAAATATGAAGTCGCTGAACTCCAGTTGTAAATCTGTTAATATATGCAAGTTTCAACGTTACTGCAATTTATCTAATAGTATAAGTATATTCCCTCCACACAGTTAGTTATGAGTTACTCGCGGGGTGCTACAGAGGATCCACTCCTGGACGTGACCTTTGGTCAGCTGTTGGACGACACGGCAGCTAAATGGCCGGACAGAGAGGCGTATGTGTTCAAAAAGACAGGTTCACGGATCACGTTTGCTGACATACAAGAAAAGGTAAGGGTCTTTAGAAAAATCACATAAATTTTTCATCAAGCTAAGAGTTAAATCTTTCACGGATTAAACCTACGCGTGTGTGGATGTGGAGGGACACATAAGCGATCATACCTTGAAATTCATTTCTTTTGTCATCTCTTTCTTTGAACTGTTTTCTGTCACAGTCTTTAATTAATGAACTAGTTCTTTATACACAGATATAAGATAACGGGACGGAAGTATTGTTTTGAGTGACGCTGGTGTAGGGGGAGTTTGTATGTTTGGTGTCCAAACCATCACGACGAGAAAATTACAGGCCAAGATTACAGGGCAATCGGCCAAAATGCCGGTAGAAGTGTTTTGGTTTGCTTTAATTCCTTGTTAGCTCATGATATTTCGCGACTACCATCTGTTTATTCACATATTTTGTTGTTTATATTGAAAATAAAACAACACAATTTACAAAAGCTTTTGTGGAGGTATGGGATCTTTGATGTCTGGTTCTGATACTTTATTTTTAATTTTTTGCCGTTCCTCCAGGCAACAAGACTGGCAGCAGGTCTTAAGGCCATAGGTACGGCACGGGGAGATGTAGTAGCCTGGCTCTTCGGGCACCGCCCAGAGTGCATATACTTGTACTTTGCCTTGGCCAAGTTGGGAGCTATTGCGGTATGCAAAGTCCATGTTTTATTATGTTTACCGAAGGAAAATATTTTATTTTATACGTTTTGTCTCCTTTTTCATCTGTTCCAAACACTAACCTCTGACCTGGCCAATGACATGATTAGGTGTCGTCTATCGCCATGGTAACTGGGGTTGGGTTACATAATGTTGCAATTTTATAGTAGGAGAGATGTATACCCCTGTCATGCTAAGATAAACGAAATTTGTTCAGAGATGATTACTTTTACATATATTTCTACCCGTTTTCAGTTCCCATTGCAGAAAAAGCGTATAGGACGAAGTGTGGAGAATATGAATGATTTTTTGAATAAGGTAATGGCAAGCTATCATATTGTCACTGTACATGTAATTTTGTGGTAATGGCTGAATATCTTTGGTTAAAATCCCTAGCAGCCCTATTTTGAAATTTAGATTCGGTGAAATTTGTTTTAATAAATATTATCATAAGGATAAAATATCATACAAATTTCTACGTTATAAAAAAAAAACAAGGTGCACCATCTAGACTATACGGGTAGACGGCATGCCAAACAGCCACGGCTGCGAACAAAAAATGTCAATTTTGTTATTCCATGGAGGTCTATGAGTACTCAACATTCGAGCGTGCATGTATCGGGTTACATGATAGTATAGAAATCAAACAGCAAAAAACTGAAATACCGTGCATATTCTTTTTTATCTGAATACTAGTGCCACGAGCAATATTTTGTAGATACAGAAACACAGTGATAAATACATTTGAAAGGGCACGGACTAAGTGGCTGCGAACTCAAGATGGGCACAACTTAGTTGATATATACTTTTACAATGGCAAAAGGATTTTATAAGACACGTCGATGAAGGTTAGACATCCAGGTAATACGAGTAGGATACGCCAAAAAGCAGTTACTCAAGCAACTGGATATGATTTTTGAAACGATTTCGGAAATGTTTCAGCTAATATACACTAGCTTTCGTCAGTGATTGAGATAACAGGAGAAATACAGGTTTATAAGCACAAACTATTGATTGATATGCAAATAAGTGAAGACAATTTTTTGGACGCCTGAAATGTCTGACCGTTTTCAAAGTCATATCCAGTAGCTTGAGTAGCTGCTTTTGGCGTATTTTACAAGACGTTTGAAAAATGGATATACATAAGAGATCTAGCGTGGGTGAAACCTCCCATCCCAGAAGAAAAGGAAAGCATAGCAGGACACATACAGCTAAAAGCGTTTTGTTTCTGTTATGTAGTTTTGTGCAGCTAACAGAAATGGTGCTTAAATTAATGCTTGAAAGCTTGCCTAAAAGGACTGAGCGCTGGCAGGCACATATAGTATATGCGACGTGTATATTCGAGCAATAATTGATAAATAAACATTCAATCGTCGCCGTCGCAATATATGTAGTTTTTATTATCTACCTTGTGCTGAGTCTGTGTTGTTTTTAGAGCCGTGTGAAGGTACTAATCATGGGTGACGAGTCGACGCAGCCAACTGACGGAACTACCTCATTCCTGTTAAGCTCGTTTCCGGAAATAAAAACAACGAATCGAGAAAACTTTAAGATCAAAAGGTAAATTCGGCTCTGAGAGTACAAAATTGATTGTATAATAAGGTCATGTTGATTTGATTATATGGATGGCGTCGTCTGAAAACCCCAAAACCGATGCGAGAGTGCGAATAAAAAAAAGTTTGGCAAAAATGGTTTCCATCACTACGAAATCTACGTGGTCATAAAGGTTGAACAAATGACTAAACACACAGAGTATTGTATGACGAATAATAATAGATTCTTCATTTTTATTTCTTCACATTATCTTCTTTTCCGGAACTGATTTCGGTATTCTATGACATTAGTATCGAATTCCAGGAGATTATATTACGGACTAATCAAGGAGGTAAATTTGTACTAGCGTTAAACGCATTGTGTGAACCATAGAGGTAGAATTATAACCTACTCGTGTGAACGAAGACCCATAGCACGCTATATAGGTCCAAAGATATAGCAAGGAGGTTATAATCTCATAGTCCTTGGTTATTTAGCCAGCGTGCGTCGCTCAATGTCCAACTGACAAGGGCTGGCAAGGCCTGTGTATTATATATATTTAGCCTTTACCAGGCTTCTGAGGGTAGCAGGAAAGAGTAAGAAATTGGTCGATAACATGCACCCGGGCGCGGCAAAATGTACTTTCTGGCAGACCAACTCCCTCGGCATATTATCTCTCTATTTGGCCAATTTGTAATATTTCCAGTCACATCCCAAAGCTGGTAAAGGCTACTGTGAGAGACTACGATGGCCATAGTTTACAAACAAGATTCAAAATGACCATTTAATTTTTCATATGCTAAATGTTCTTTAGTGGCACCTATAAAGAAAAACTAGTGCTACCATTCTGTAGCAGATCAAAGCTAACATTTATATAACATTTCACATCATCAAGATTAAAAGTTATAGCACGTACATGGCGCTCAAAATAAACATTGTGAAAACGGAGGGATGACAAGAAACTACATGAACTGTCTAATGGTATAAGCAAGGAAGTTTAGGGAGATACAGGGCATGGATGTAGGTGCATGTTTGGAGCCAGACAAGTCAATACACATCAAAAGATTTTTCATCTCGTACTGGGCCAGGGTTAAAAGTCTATTAGAAATTTTCTTCAGATGAATTATAACACATCTAGCTATCTTCTGCCCAACAGGCAGAGCTGCTGTTCATGTTCATAGCTGCTTTGTACAAAACTACATTTCAAACACGGAACTTCCTATTCGAGGAGTAAGAAACAAATCTTTAAAAACAAAGACTTTTGTGGTAAAGTCTGAATTTAAATGGATACATCCTGCTGTCTGCCCTCTATGCAAAATTAAAGGTAATTGCCCGTAATGGCCTTGAGTGGAGGTGCGAAAACAATTAATTTCATTCACAGTCATGAGTCTTGATAAAGATTGACAGGTTAAGGAAGGAAATCGACCAGAATTTAGAGTTTTGAACTTTAAAGCCCGAGACCAAACTCTTCCCATGGGTTTACAAAGTTGAAATCGGGTGCAAACAATGCGTAAGAAGTCGGTTTATATGAATCGGTTTTCAGAAAAACTACTTTATCCCCGTATATCTAGCTATTGGTAGATTAAGTCATACCCCCCCTAGAATTCTACCAAAATGGACTATATTACAACATATTTTCAAATCTAAGCTATATTCTTCTTTTCTGGAAACCGATTCCTATAAAGTGCATATCTCTCCACATTCTCTGAAAGTTTTGTATTACAATTCTGAGCGGATGGGTTTGGTCTAGGCCGATTTTATATAGTCACAATGATCTGATATTATTATCATTTATGGAACAATTATGCAGATTTTCGAAGAAAAAAATAACGATTTAGAATCAGTAGTGTTTCATCTAAGTTACTCCCAAATTTGAAGTTGATTGGTCACGCCAAACTGGAGATACATGCTTTTTTACGGGTAGCTCTGTATCACTCCCACTCCGCGAGGATGCCATCCATGTAATCAAATCAACATGGCCTAAGTACAATATCAACATGGCCTAAGTACAATATCAACATGGCCTAAGTACAATATCAACATGGCCTAAGTACAATATCAACATGGCCTAAGTACAATATCAACATGGCCTAAGTACAATATCAACATGGCCTAAGTAAGGACGTCGGCAGAACGTACTGCGCCTTCGCGAAACCCGTAATGTATTGTACATAGCATTTCGGCAGAATGTCTCATATAATGTTGTATTCGCTCATATAAGGTTAGCATTTCGACAGTAGTTGCCAAATGTTGTGTCGGATAGAATATCCTCTGCAACAGGAAAAATTCTGATGCAACGTTGACCAAAAACCCAACGAAAAACGCGAAAATACGGGGCTCTGCGCAGGCGCAGTACGTTCTGCCGACGTGCTACCTAAGTACAATGAAACGACGTAACGTAATTTCAGTCTTGAAGAAAATACTGTCAGTAGGTATACGGATTTTTTTGTTTAGATATAAACTTACGTGAACCAACAAATACAGTTTATTGACAATTTAACACAATTACTGTATCTGGGTCAGGGCTGGTCCAGTGGTGGTTTGTGGGGAAGGGGCAAATATTTCATTTCATTTCATTTTATTTATTTATCCAGGTGATACATATCGCCTTCTCGGCGTTTTTCCCAACATAGTAAAATACAAACAAAGTAACTGAGGATAAAATACAATAATAAATAAGAAGAAAATAATCACTATATAAAAGTGTGCAATTAATCATAAGGTAACATAAAGAATCCAACCAAAACATAAATAAGTTAAAGCGAAAGGAATTTGCATATCAATGGAACTTATCTCACAAGCATAAATCCGTTTTAGTCCGTTAAAATTTGCTTTAGAAATTGCGTTGGATGATGCTTGGAAGGTTTCAAAATTCAGATGCAGATCGAAAATCTCATGTCCTTGACAGCGACAGACCTCCCTCCTAAAAAAGGGTCGGCGGGTTTTAAACAGAAATGGAAAAGCGGAAACACAAGTTTTACTAGTCGCAAACCTGGTGACTTGACAGATTTTTACTATTTTAACTTGTACTTGTACCTCTGCATTGTAGAATCCCAACGTTGACCAGTATCGTTGTACTTGAAAACAGGGCAACAGGGTAAGTACTTAATACTTCATAAAGCTACGTTATTATTACCTGAGCCAATGAGGTAATGTTTTCGGCATGTATCTTTTGTGTGTGTGTGTGTGTGTGTGTGTGTGTGTGTGTTTTGTGTGTGTGTGTGTATGTCTGTCTGTCTGTATGTTTGTCTGTCTGCCACTAGGTGACTAAGACATGCCGTATATTCCATGGACATTTGCGTTAAGTATTGATTACAACACAGGGTCACTTTTTTGTATGCCAAGATTCTTGACTGTTTTTTTTAAAGTTGTTACTGATATTGTAACACAAGAGAAAAGAGTAACTCGAATATTGACTCTGACCCCCTGGATCGAACCCGCACCAACTCACAACCAGCGCACTGTTACCGATTAGGCCAAAAGATCCTGGGCCCATTTGGCTACTTGGGAGTTAGTGGCGTCTTAAGCTATATACTCGCTGTTACAATTACAATGATTGCCTTCGACAGAAGGCTATGAAATCGCTTTTGCACTGTTTTGCAGATTATGCACGATAAAGTTTGAGGGCATGGTCCGTGGTTCACGATTTTTGGCAGGCAGGTTGTCTTAGTGATGGGCATTGTGAAGGCCAGAAATGGGCTTCGTGGGGGGGGGGTCTTACGTGACTGGAGCTGACCTTTTGTGTTTGCGTTTTTTGTTGTTCCCCAGATAACTCGGGAATCCTTAAGTGATTTTCAGTTGGCAAGTCGCCGTTGAGAATACGGAGGTCAAGCTCGGAAATGGGCCTCGTAGGGGATTCCCACGTCATTGAATTTGACCCTTTGTGTTGGTCGTTATTGTTGTTAGCGGGATAATTCGAGAATCTGCAAATGGATGTTCACGATTTTTTGTGAGCAAGTTACCGTTGACGATAGCAAGATCAAGTTCGGAAATGGGCGTGGTGGGAGGTCCGTACGTTACTGTAGTAACACTGGTCACTTTAAATTTTGAAAAGACACCAGCAACCCCAGTTTTGCATATATGCATCAATCTTGCATATATTTATGAAGTGTATTTGCATATATGGAAAGATACCATGCTCCCGTAACCGCGCGCGCACGGAAAACGGTCTCATGCGCCAATTTCGCTGTCGCGTAGACGTACATGTTAACCGTATCTAGACCGGGCTTTTTTGGGCTTGGTAGGACCGGGGAGTGGGGGGCTCTTTCGGCCCCCCCTCAGAACTCGCGAACGGTATGTCGTATGACCACCAAATTTTTAGAGGATGGTGTACTAGTAAAATTTATCATATACACAATTTTTACGTTGTTGTGACGTAATATGACGTCATTATGACGTCATAAATGTGATTTTAATGGCCAAAACCGCCTAGATAGGTTCTTCCCTGAAAACTAAACGGTATACGACATAACTTTACCAAAAGTGTTTATGATAGATTATTAGGGTGTACTAAGTCTTATGTTGCACATAGCAACACCTGTGACGTCATAAAATGACGTCATGCATACTATCCGCCATCTTCGATCATCAATCTTGAAATTTGAAAAAATAGTTTGTTTTTTTTCAGGATAAAGCCTAAAATACATTGTAAACAGACTGAAGACGTTCATATGAACATTTTTTGTAAAAAGAAATAGGAGCATTGATGAAATTTTAAGGAAAATAACCTGTATATACCTGATCTAATGATATGGTCCGCCATCTTGGATTTTGGTGAATGACGTCATCAAATTAGCATAAATTATGCATTTTTAATGATAAAATTTACATATTGTTATCGGAGATGTTAATAATATTAGAAACCATGTGTAACTTGACATAAAACCCTTAAAATTCTGCTGTTGAAATGAAACTGTCAGAAACCCGTTGCCATGGTAACACCAAAAATCATAAGCTTATTCCAATGATACAGATTTGTTGCCAACAATATTTTAGGAAAAGTCACCAAGTTTGGCGGTTCTAGCTTTACCCGTTCGGATGCTAGGTGACATCAAAGTTGGCGCGGGCACTTTTAGCACCCCCCCTCCGGTCTAGATAGGGTTAAAATAGGCCACTATTTTGGCTGTGAATCCAATCAAAAAGTCGTATATCTACAGTTTTTTGCTCTCTATACCAAACGCACGTTTCATGTGAACATTTAAGGTAAACATAAAAACAATTTTCAATAAAAACAATAAAAACAATTTTCAATAAAAACAATAAATTTCTAACCGCTAGTTCCATATTTACGTCATGTATAACTGCAATTACCCATGATCCGCAAGAGGCCCTCTTTTGGCTCACTGTGCCCGACCGCAGTACTCAGGTCAAAATAAGCGTATACGTCCGACAATCGCTCGGACGCCGAAACTTCCCTCCCTGATCCTGCCAGTAATAAACAGGCTTTCATCTCAAATCCTTTTTAGATCAGGTCTGAGTGATGAAAGGAATTTTATGGTGCACCTAAACGCTCACGCTGTTCGGGCACAATCATTTTTTGTCGGGACTCATTTAGCCCTACACGCGGAGTAATTGCGGTATGAGACCTTAAACAAATTTTCTTTCTTGAAGAACATGCGCTAAAACGCTGTTTTTCACGATTGCATAGCCACATTTAGTGTAAATATGATTGCCACAATTCAAAGAACCTTTGGGGGAAATATATATCTATTTGCGGATTTATGGCATTTTCCCACATAATTTTACGTTCGTTCAAGGACCTGTATAATGTCCTTGGTTCGATAACCCGCGAAACTTTTGGCGTGACGGTCCGGTGCTCTCTATAAATGTTTCCGAGTAGATCGAGGTCTTTCCCGGCAAGAAGCTTTCATCACACGGTGATAGAATGTCCTTGGTCCCGGTGGTGTATGCCAAACTATGTCTTAAGTTCATTTGGCATTGGCCTAAGACACATCTATAACAAATTTAAGGTTGTTTGGTTTTAATACAAGGGCATAAAATCATTTTGTCTGGAAAGAGCAAAAAAAAAACTTATTTTACACAAATTCAAAGTAGTGTTTACCAAAAATGTGAGTATAGTTCTTTGGGCATGCGTCTAAGGTCTAAGGTCATTTAGTTGTAATATTAGGTCACAGGAGCGAAAAATGTACACTTTTTGTCTGAAAATAGCAAAAAAAAGACTTGTTTCACACCATTTTCATTTTCAAGTGATGTATGCCAAAGCTGCAAATGTCATTCTTTGAGCATATGCTCAAGGCACGCATGTACCAAATGACGAATTCTACATTCCGTATTTCCGTAGAAAGACATGGTACAGGCTAGGTAAATAGTATGTTGCTTCGTTCACATAAAGACTCTCTGACCACTATAACTACGATAATCATCTTCAAAAAGCCTACACTATACATACACACAACACCCACTAAAACAATATCACACTGTCGAAGGCATGAGCCCTCCTAACTCTAGTTGTCTCTGTGCTTCCATGAAGAATCGGTGTCTACACCATGGAAGAGGTGCAAACCATGGGAAAGAACGAAACACTTCTGGCTGAAGTAAGGGCTCTGCAGGACCAGCTCAGCTGCCACGACTCGGTTACATTGGGACTCACTTCGGTAAGTCAGAAATATGACTCATATATCCTATATTCTTTATCCATAACCCGATGATATGCTCAACTCAACCACGGTTCCGTGTCTGTTTCAAATCTATGTGCGGACTGGACTGCACCTACGGCTCACAACTACGAGACTGAAGAGTATACGCGAAGACTATCCACGGTGTCAGATGCTAACCCAATACATCGAGAAAAAGTAGGGCAGACACCACAATTGCGTTGCGAAGTAGGAGGCCCCGAAATGGGAACTAGGAACTACACTGATTGTAGTTAATCCCTTTTTATCCAGAAAATTTTGGTCCAACTTGGAGATTTTTGGTCTAGAAGTAACAAGTAGGGCCTAAACTTTCCTACTTTTGTCAAATTTTGTTAATTTCACCAGTTTAGTGGACATAACGAGACACCTGCTTGATGAGGTCTGGCCTGCATGCTCTGGGCGGATGGATACATTGAGAAACTGTGGTCAAAAGCAGGGTTTGTTCATTGTTATCAGCTGTTGTACAAATGTAAGTGTTTGAGCTGGTCAACCCCCAATTTTCTTTTTGATATTTTGGAAGCAGACCCTTGTAGTTCTCTGGTCCAGAACAATTTTTTTAAATTGAAAAAGTAGTTTCATGGGGACTTGTTTCAGTGTATTCAACCATAGGTTCCTGTGGCCAAAGATAATTGTACTGTCTGCCTAGTATTGCAGGCAGTATTCTGACCCCCCCCCCCCACCAC